CCCTCTTATGGAAAACCACACACAGAGAGAGAGGCATAAAGGCAGACACATTAAATTTTATGAATAAAGTTGGTTTTATTCATCCTGGAGAATGTTTTAAATTACCTCTTCTATGCATTTGAAAGGGAAATTGTATGTGTATATGCATATATAGCAATGTTGGTCACCAGCTAAAATGCAGGTACTGAATGTATTTTGTGCAAACTCTTCACTCTTTATCAAGGTGTAGCTCATACACTTTGTTTGCTGAACTATAGTTACTGAAGTTATGTAGGCTTGCATATCTTATCAAAGTTGGTTTCCTCTTTTGCAGCAAGAAAGGAGGAGGATGCCAGTTGGGGAAAGGGGAATGTAGTGCTGTGGGGTTGAGTTGAATGATCACTCAAGGATTCCTTACTCCCAACTCTTTGATTCTAGTGTAAGGCAGGGGCTGGGGAAGAGGAGGACTGCTAAGCTACCCAAACTATAGCTTAGCTCAGTGTAGCGCAGCACCAAAACAGCCAGGAAGAGCAAATCAGCCACAATATCCTCTCTCAGAGTCTGCAAATTCATGCATTCATGCCAAGCCTTGGTTTGACTTGGTGTCATGTGCAAACCATGGGATAGTCACATGCCACAGCTAATTGTCCTGATCCAAATGCAGACCAAAATCTGAATTAATTTTACAGACATCCAGAGGACATCTAGAAAATTAAGCTGGTTATTTCCAGAGAGGGTAGAGTGAAGCAGAGTACTAATTTCTAGCAATGATGCTTATTTCATCCACCTTTAACTCTCCGCAGTCATCTTCTGTCTGTCATCTAAGTGATACAAATGTAACCAGCAAACCTTTCTTCATGATATTTGTTCTCCTAATTTGGGGGCTAACATCACAACTCTCTTGCAAAACCATCCTTTGCTTTTCAAAGATGTGTACCATTCACACAGAAGGCACCCTCTTGAGAGAGCTGTTGATTGTGGATTAAAAGTTTTTAATGTTTGATGTTTTACTGTGGCTTTATAATTTGTTGTAAGTGTCCCAGAGTGAGTGGGGCAACCCAACCAGATGGGTAGCTGGCAAATGAATGAATGAATCACCAGCCTCTATTTTTCTGCCTTTCCCAAGTAAGCTCACGAAAGCACTGGAATGGTTCTGTCTGAAGTTAGCCATAGTTTCCAGTTTTCACAAGAGGAGTCATGAAAATATGCTTGTGTGTATGCCTTTAACTAAACATGATGGGGGAAACCCTGAGCCTAGGGGTGTTGCTAGCTGCTTAAAGAACTTAGGGCACAGGTCTATGTCTATGAGATAAACTGACATGTGTGAATTTCTATGCATAAATGATCTATTGGGGAAAGCATAGCGGATGGCTAAGGTTTCACTAACACTGACCTTTATCGTATACCCAGCTGGCTTGAGGGTCAAAGTTAAAACCATGCTTTTTAAGTTTAAAAAATGGGGAGGGGCAAGATATCCGGCCCATCATAAAATCCCTGGGCTACTCAGGAATAATGTCCCTGGACAGACCTCTAATGAATGTCAGGGATTCAATACATGTTTCAAAACTGCTTTACTATTCTTTGTAACCTGTTGTTCAGCTACAACTGTTTTTTTGTGTGTGTGTTGCTTAAAAAAGCAATTACAGATCCCCAGAAATATAGTTTAATTATCAAAGCAATAAACAGAATTATAAATATTAAATAATGAGCTGGGGGGGGACCCAGTGGATCAGGATTGCTGATTGTTAAATACACTCTAGCTACATCATTCAGTGTCAGTGAAGACTAGATAAATGTTTTCTTTTCTTTTTGGTAATGTTCAAGTCACCATTTCAAGTTTAAAAATTGTGGATCTAAATGTTATGGCAGCCATTGTCTGAGGTGCTGAACTGACTAAAATGCAAATGGCCTTTGAGTGAGGCACTGAAAATACAACTGGGGGACTTTTACTTCACTGCCTCTGTCGTTGCTCTCCAAGTAAATTGCATTTGACAAGGCTCTTTCTCAAAGATTAGCAGTGGTTAGATTAAGCTGTCCTTGATTTTACCATTTAATCCGGCACTGTTGTTTTGGTATAGTGAAGAGAACAAGACAACGGACAGCTCTTTTCCTGTTCTTTGAAGTACATTAGCAGTCCTAAGACCATATCAGCTACTCAGACAGGATCCTGCCGTGAGACTCCATCACTTAAGGCTTTTGGATAAAAGTGGCACTCCAGTGATGCATTCTGGACACTGATCCATGCCCAAGAGCAGAGCTGTTCATATGTCCTACCAAAAGCCTACAATTCTTTGCCCAGGATGAGTTGAATTCTGCAACCTGTGTAAATTAGGCAAGTTGTGTAAATGCACATAGTAGTTCTACAGTGACTGTTTTGTGTGACATACTTGGCTTTTGCTAGTCATAAGGAAGGACAAGGAGTTAGGATGGGTGCACCCCAGCTATTCAGCTGCTCCTCTGGCTTTATGAGAATTTCATAAGGCATGGTTTACTTTCAAGGGTGTGTTTATAGCTGCAAGGGCTCAAAATATGTGACATATCCACAAGGCTGCCCATGAAGTTGTCTATCAAAGTGACAAAGGAGAAGCAGTAGTTCAAGGCAGCATTCTCCTGTCCTTAGCAGTGTTATGAAGCTTATACAAGTTTAACAGAAATGGAAGCATTGGATATAATCTGGAAAATGCTCCAAGCAACATAAACACTACTCAGTACTCCAACCTCTTATTTAATCCTTTTAGGAATTTCAGGGTCCCCTTTCCTTGACATCCAGGATTTCTATGTATTGCTCAGATTAGTTGCATTAGTTGCACTCACTTTGCTGCTTGTCTAATACTTAAATGTTCAATCTCTTTATAGCAAATCAACAAATTTCAAATGAAATTTAAGAGTACAGTGGTACCTCGGGTTATATACGCTTCAGGTTCCAGACTCCGCTAACCCAGAAATATTACCTTGGGTCAAGAACTTTGCTTCAGGATGAGAACAGAAATCGTGCTCCGACGGTGTGGTGGCAGCAGGAGGCCCCATTAGCTTAAGTGGTGCTTCAGGTTAAGAACAGTTTCAGGTTAAGAACGGACCTCCGGAATGAATTAAGTACTTAACCTGAGGTACCACTGTATAGTCTGTACTAAATGGGTTACCAAACATGAAGGGCTGGAGAGATACCAACCCCCTTATTTCTTTCACTGTATTAACAAGCAGGTATGAATATACAGTCGCAAGGATTAGGAGGTTTGACTGTGCCCACATCCTGCATCTCATTCGTTCAGCCCTCTCTTTCTTGGCCAAGTGTAAGTTCAGTGCCCTGAACTTTATTGCCTTACTCATTATTAACCCTACTGATTTTGAAGTGACTACTCATGCACATGTGTTTACCTGATATATACCAAGATTTATCTTGGCATAGAGATGGAGTGATGGGGTGAAGTTTCCCCTGCTGCATTTCTTCCTGTTTGGTTTGTGCGAAAGCAGGCATGATATGTGGACCTCCAGGTGTTGTTTGAGTAGAAGTTCCATGGTTGGGGGGTGATGGAAGTTGGAGTCAACAACAAGAGGTGGGCAGTGGTTCATCATTCATGTGTTAACAGCACAGGAGTCTAGATAGAAAAAGTGATGTACACTTATAATTGCAGCTACCATTTGGGGAAACTGCATATATGTCATAAATTATAAAGGTAAAGGGACCCCTGACCATTAGGTCCATTCGTGACCGACTCTGGGGTTGCGGCGCTCATCTCGCTTTATTGGCTGAGGGAGCTGGCGTATACAGCTTCCAGGTCATGTGGCCAGCATGACTAAGCCGCTTCTGGCGAACCAGAGCAGCACACGGAAACGCCGTTTACCTTCCCGACGCAGCGGTACCTATTTATCTACTTGCACTGGCATGTTTTTGAACTGCTAGGTTGGCAGGAGTAGGGACCGAGCAACGGGAGCTCTCCCCGTTGCGGGGATTCAAACCGCCGACCTTCTGATTGGCAAGTCCTAGGCTCTGTGGTTTAACCCACAGCGCCACCCGCGTCCGTCATAAATTATAGTTGTGATATTAATATGTTCAATCTCTGTTGCCCATGCTTTGTTTATAAGTATAAAGGGACTTCTTCCTTTACCATGCATGTCTGTTGCATAGATCAACTGTGAGCTAACACCACAAGCCTAGTTTGTGAAATCCACCATCTGATGTGGAATGAAAGAGGTGATTCTGCAAGGGCAAATTACTACCTCTCAGCCAAACTACAGTACACTTTTTAAGGCACGTGCAACAGATAAAGACATAAGTCTCCTGTTTTGTTTTAAGGAATGGCATGGGATGCTTACCCCCTTATTCCTCTAGCTACTTTCCTGCTCAAAATCGCCCTATAAGCTGCTTTTTTGTCTCAATAATATAGTGTTGGGCAATCTAGCTGTGAGTAGCTTCTAGTTCCCTTTCGTGGAGGTTCTTTAATTTTACAAAGGCTTCTCATTGGTGGTCTTGATTCACTACATTTTATCTTAGAACATTGTGCATATTTATATACTTAAACAATGTATACGCCGCTTAGCTACACTTGCCTCTGAGCAGATGCAAAGGCAGCATGTGACAAATGTGTTTACAAGCATGGACATAATGCAGGCATGCCCCGCAGGGAGCCAGGTGTGACTGCAGCTCCTCCCTGAGTGTACAGATGGTGATAAATTGCAGGTTTTTCTGTGTGCTGTGTGGAATGGCCCTGCCTCTCCACACGGCGGTGACTGAGGTGAGTTTCTTCTTGGTTCGGGGCTGGGATGCTACAAAGGAGCCGAATGCCTTTGAGATGGCGACTCCGTGAGATCAGCTCGCGCGGTGCAGATCTAAGGCTCTCTTGCAATTTCTGCCGATGGGGGCGGTGAGTAAACAGAGCGACCCGGACTGTGCATACACAGTGTTGGCGCTCGCTCGCCGTGTCTGTGTTGGGCGCTGGCAGGCGCCTCAGTCCCCGCCTCCTTACGCAGAGCCACCCGGCCCCGTTTTCATGAATGAAATCCAATCGGCTGAGTATAAATAGACCCGAAGGCTGCCGACGTCACCATGAGAGCGGCTCCTACCCCTGCTCCAGAGCTCGGCTCTTTTGCATTGCACTCCAGATTCACCCTGAATCCCGAGGGGGGGAGGGAGGAGCGGGTCTAGCCGGAGAGAGCGCATCGGCTGCAGCTGCAGGAACGGGGCGAAGGGCAGCTCCAGCGCCATGCTGCCTTTGTGCAAAGTTGGCGGGCGGCTCTCTGGCGTTGCGCGCCCCGTGTAAGGAGCGGCTGCTGCTGCTGCTGCTGCCGGGGGCCGCCGCCGTTGCTCAGCCACGGAGGCTGCAAGGCACCAGTCCCTGCCGGGTAAGGCGCCGTGTTCCGCTGCCGCCGCGCGTGATCGTGCCCAAGTTTTGCGCGCGCTGCATCCCAGCATCACACCCCCTTCCTCCCGCGCCCGTCCGCTCGCTCGCGTCTTTGCCGACCACACGTGCAAGGTACCCCCTCCCAAAGTGTTATATGGCAGAAAGTTAACGCGGTAGGACATTAAGCCTGACGGGGGGCAGTAACAGCGGGGTTGCCCCAAGGGATCTCAGGCCTTTGACCCAGGGAGCTGGTGACAGTCCATAACAGGCAGGTCGCTCCCACACCGGTGGTCTCCCGTGATGCCAGATTTGCTGACCGGGCACTATTCCCAGGTTGGTACGGTTGACCGGCGGGAGGGAGGGGATGCTCATCTCGGAAGTATTGGCCGAATGGCCGCAGAACCTAAAGGCATCATAACTTGTCCCCTTTTGTCCGTGCAAATGCTCACTGGCCTGCCTTTGCTGTGTCTGCCGCGTCTGTTGTGGGTTGCTGTGACAACAGCCAGGGGGCTACCATGAGAGGGCTTGCAATGGACACATTAGGGGGCGTACAAGTTCAAGCCAGCAACCAATGGTTTCTTCTTGGTGTCTGAAGAAGAAGCCCACCATATATATTATTATATGTCCTGTGTGTCATGAGGAAAGCAAGTCTGCTGAACGTTTGAATGAGTGGGAGAAACACAGGTTGCAACCCAGCCAAGCCATTTATTTCAGTTGCAAGATAGCAGGTGTGCCACTAATAGGAATAGTCTTAAGAAGTCCTGAACTTTGGCTGCATCATGCTTATGATATTTATACTGTAATAAACACTTTAATAGAACGATTGGGTTCCTCCTTTCCTTTTTGCTTGGAGCTTGTGGTTTCCAGCAGCCCCAGCATCCCTGTCAAAGCAGAAAAGGCAAGGCAAGCAGTTCGAGCCAGTCCTTTTGACCGACTTGGCTGCTGCTGGCCATAACGCAAACCATGCGGCTGAAAAGCTGGCTTTGCACATCTGTTCGCACGGAACCGTGAAGTTCTGCATATGGTCACAGCGAGAGCTGGCAGGCGATGCCAGAATATTCTCAGCAACTGACAGTAGCTCACCCGCCGTTTGTTTTCTGTTCCTGGACGTTCTCTTGAACAGCAGCCAAGCATGTAGCGCCTAGCAAACTGGCGGCATTAAATAAATGCTAAGTAGTGCTGGAGCTATTTTTTAAAAATAGGAGAAGATAGAAAACATGTATGTGGCTCATTCAACCTGTCATATGTATTTTTGGAACCCGGCCAATGGCCATTACAATGGTTCGCTTAATTAATCATTGCTAAGTCAGAAGTTTGCAGAAGACGGTTCTGCATACCTATCATGCTTCCTTTGCCCTCTTCAAGAAAATATGTTTTGCTTACACCTGAAATTACCTTTTAAATTATCTTTTTGTTTTAATGAGCAAAGCTCTTCTAAATGTCTTGTGAGCATGAAAGCAAACACATAAGACTTCTTTAAAACATTGTTTCCTTTTTAGTGTTGTTTTGCATGCATTAGTGGTATCTACACAGTGACTAATCTGCAGTTCTCCAAAGGCCTGAGGAGTTTGTTCTTCTGGACTACTTTTGGATAGTTGATAGCTCGGATCAGTTGAAGCACATTGTTATCTAGGAGACACTTTTTTCAGTGGATTGGGAAGAAAATCAATCATTAATAAAAGACTGAAATCCATACTCAGGAGAATAGTTTTCATCATCTCTCAGGAAACTTTGAACACACTATTGCTGCAGTTTGATCAAAATCCATATATGAATTTGGCTTAAGTTTACAATGTTTGCACTAATATCCCACTGCCTGCTCTTAGGCCTTTATTGCATGAAAGCTTTATTTGACAACGAATAGTTTGGTATCATTCTAACAAGAAGAAGGGTTATTAAGGCAATAATTAAGTTTAAGTCCCATTATCCCTACATCTATTAATATATAGAATAAAGCAACATATTAATATACAAATGGAAGTAATGTGGGGTTTAGAAACATCCAACAAGGCTGTTTATTTAATTATTTGGTAATAATGTAAATTCCCTTTGCATTAAAATATGGCAGCCATATGAAATGAAAAAGGTATTTAAATATACCTTTCTGAAGAAACCAGAGGCCTTTCTCCTGGGCATGGTTGGCCAATTGGTGCCAAAGAAGGACAGAACTTTCTTTATGTATGCTACAACAGCAGCAAGAATACTTATTGCAAAGTATTGGAAGACACAAGATCTACCCACCCTGGAAGAATGGCAGATGAAGGTGATGGACTATATGGAACTGGCGGAAATGACTGGCAGAATCCGAGACCAGGGAGAAGAGTCGGTGGAAGAAGATTGGAAGAAATTTAAAGACTATTTATAGAAATACTGCAAAATTAATGAATGTTAGAATGATGTCGGAATGAAGTTAAGTGGTTTTAGCAGCAATGTTACAAAGGAGTATGTAAAAATGGATTGCTAACAGGTGAGAATCTAAAGTTATAATATATTAAGATAAAGGATTAAGATAAAAACAAAGAGGGAAAGGATTTGCTGAAATACAAAAAAGGGAGGTGTGAGGAGGTCAGGGAAACAAGTAAATGAAAGACAAGACATGGAAAGATTGATTTGTTTTAAATTGTTTTTATTTTTCTGTATTTTGTATTTTCTCTTTTCTTTTTCTCTTTTTCTTATTTTTGTAACCTTTTCTGAAACTTTAATAAATATCATTTTTAAAAAAATAAAAATATGGCAGCCATAGAAGTTGATTCAAATACCAGTAAGTAATATTTTCTTGTTGTGAAGAAGAGAGATAATGCATCTATAAAGACTTGTATCTGATATAATTTTCTCAGAGTAATGGGAACAACTTCCCTCCTAATGATACAGTGGCACTTGCTGCAGTTCCAGCAACAGTCATGTAAGTGATGTACAAATGTAAAGGAGAGGAGGGCTTAGGAACATAGTTTCACTTAGCTCAGTATTGTCTACACTAGCCTCCTCCAACCTGGTACCCTCCAGATGTTGGTCTGCAACTTCCATCATCACTGGCCATGCTGGCTGGGGCTGATGGAGGCCAACATCTGGAGGGTGTCTGGGTGGGGAAGACTGGTCTATACCGAAGAAATGTGGCTCTCCAAGGTTTCAGGCAGAAAAACGTTTCTAGCCCTGCCTGCAGTTGTCAGGGATTGAATCTAGCATCTTCTTCATGCAATGCAGATAAACCAGCATTGAGCTAAAGCCTTCCTCTTCTTGTAATGGTGGAAGAGGTGCAATGGTACACTGACATTGTTGCTGTCATTTGTGTTTATTATAGCTTATGGTGCTTTCAGCAGAAGTGGTCCCATGGTGGTAAGCACTTTTTTTAATAATAAAGAAGAGGATGAGAAAAGTGTACACCAATGCTAGGGGGCACTAGGGAGCTCACAGCTTCAAAGAAAAAGCAACGGGTCTAGAAATTGTGAGCTGCAGTGTGGAAAGGAATAACCTTGCCCTGCTTTTTCTTTAAGAGGCTACTGAAGCATTCTTGAGCTGAATGCTTAAAACAAATTTCCTGCCATATACTAATGTAAAAACCATGAAAACAAGCTCTTAGTCTGTATAGACATTGAGAGATCATGTTTTGTCATCAGTGATGACACAAAACTGGCATTGATGTCACAGGCACTATTCAATAGTGCAGGCATAAATCTGGGCCGGGGGATGTTAGAATCTTAGTAGGTATATTTCAAAATATGAAAATGCCACCAGAAAACTGGTTTGACAGTGATGAAAGTGCAACAGGAAAAAAAGCCATAAATGTGTATATTGTGCACACAACAAGAAGAGGACAATAGCGTATCCACAGCTCAGAAAATGCATCAGCTGTATGAGCCTAAGAAGAAGAATATTGGTGTATGCTTTCATATCTTTAATTTATACTGTATGCCAGAGTGTTTGTACAAGCAAGCTGTCAGTGACCTCAATGGCAGTGAGGGCTGTTTAAGAATGTTTACATTGGACAGTTGAGTTGATTCATATGGGAAAAGAATTCTTTACAACAAGGGCCATCCTGCAGGCGGACTAAGAAACAGATTGGGGTGGGATTCATAGTGAAGAGACAAGCACAAAAAACACAATTTCGGTATGACTTTTTCTCCTTTGTTGTACTTTATGGTGCTGTTGCTTCAAGCTTTGTTAAAGTTACCATTCATACATGAAGCACCATTAATATGCATGGCACATTGCAGAGTAACATACAGTGGTACCTCAGGTTACAGACGCTTCAGGTTACAGACTCCGCTAACCCAGAAATTGTACCTTGGGTTAAGAACTTTGCTTCAGGATGAGAACAGCAGCGGCAGCGGGAGGCTCCATTAGCTAAAGTGGTGCTTCAGGTTAAGAACATTTTCAGGTTAAGAACGGACCTCCAGAACAAATTAAGTTCTTAACCAGAAGTACCACTGTATTTTACTATGTACGATCCTTCTCTCTCTCCCCCACCCCACCCCAAAGAGTTTATATTATATATTTTGTCAACATCAGAGTCAAGGGAGGAGAGGATAAGAGCAAAACAAGGGCAATCGGGGATAAATGTGAGCAAATGAAATTTCATTTAATTATGCTTCATTTTGATTGGGGTTTGGTCCAAGGCATCACAAAAAAGGTGCTTTTGTTTCTTTTCTAATCTGCTGGTGTGGCATTTGGCCACACAAATGGACCACCGAGCTTTATCCTATCCTACATCCATTGCAGTGCAACTAGAGGCAATGTCTTGAGAGAGCTGCTGCAGCATCCAGTGCAAGGCAAGTAGAGCTGGGCATTCTGCTAGCCTCCAAAAGCAAGGAGAAAACCATGCTGCCAGAGCTGCCAGCCAACTAGCATCAGGGCCTTAGGATGAGGTGCAAGAGGCCATTGGAAGCCTCAATTAAACACAGCCCCTTTTGCCATACACTTGCAGGGCTTACGGGCTTCATGCACCAGTACCAAGGAACAACATTAATTGCTTCAGCACAGCAGAAAGTACCATTTCCCAACAAG